CAAAGGAAAGCAGAGCAATACCTTTGGCACCAGCTTGGCTGCAGGAGTTGCCAGAAGGGGACATACAAAGCACCAGCCAGCCATCTTAGGGACTCCACTCCAGATTTGTGTAGGGTTTACTCCTTAGCCTTCTCTTCTCCTGAAAATATCTCTCAAGGCAGCAGTTTAGGATCAGAGTTTTCCTTCTCCCAGATGGGCTCGGTTGACAAACCCCACCTGCCCCTCACTTCCCACTACAGCAGGTGCTTCTTGACCATTGGATCCACTATTGAACAAAAAATATTGCATAATAAATACAAATAAAACCTCTTCATCTAGAATATGTGATGGGTGGGGAACCTGTGGTCCTCCACGTGTTGCTGAACTACATCTCCCATCATCCCTATGCTGACTATGACTGATGGCAGTTCGAGTCCAACAACATCTAGAGAGTCACATGTTCCCAACCCCTGCTTAGAACATAGAGGTGTAAATCAAGGCTGGTTCCCCTGTATTTTGCATGGATGTGGCTTGCATCTCGAAAAACAAACAAGATAAAGTTTCATCATGCAGACAGGCAACATTTCCCTGCCTATTTATGTTCTTTAGGCCTCGTTCCATATTGTGACATGTGGTTGTTTGATTTTTTAAAAGAAACTTAACTCTATAGCATTATATATAAAATGCATTTTTAACAATGCAATTCTGTACTTGTCTACTCGCCCTACTGCTCAGTCCATTGTGTTCAATGGGGCTTACTCCCAGGTAAGTGGATATATGATTGCTGCCCAAAACATGTTTATTAAAGCTTTATTCCCTAAATACTTTGATTTATATTTTGATTCAACTGATTGGAGAATATTAAGTTTCATCTGTTCTCTTCTACATACATTTAAAAAATGTGTTATGTTTCTTATTATGTGAATCTGAACAAAATGAGCTGAAAGTGAAACTGACATTATACACTACTGAAGGAGCAATAAAAGGAAATAAAGATCATATGCAATAACACTGTACCTTTATCACAAATATATAAAATTACACTAAAACTACAAAGGAGCAAAAGGTAAAAATTATCCCATCACAGCACTTTGTTGTTGTTGTTTTATTTCAGAGTTTTATGGTTTTCTCATTAAGAGTTTGAAACTTGCTGTAGATTATATACAAAGGATGGTTCTATGTCGTTTGAGGAGGTTATTGCTTTTAAATTACATTCTAAATAGGCAAACAAAATGAATACAGGTTTAATGTGGTCTTAATTCTATCTAGCAAGCTCCAGTCTGGATAATGTTCATTAGCTCAGGCTCAAAGGGGTGTTTTGTGGCTGCAAGTGAATAAATAAGTAACTGAATGGGAAGACTCAAAATGTATAGTTGTTAATTAAAAAGCATATTTGCCATTATACATCCTGTAGAATATGTTCCCGTTTTAATATTTTATCAATTGAAATGTAATATATACAGATGTTCATATATTCACTTTTTCTTTGCCTTGTCTCCTCCCCTGCTACCACCAAAAGAAAAAAGTTTATTCTGCTTTTTCTCTTAGCTACTTGTGGTTGAGTGATAAAGTATTTAAGAACTGGAATGGTACCAATGCTACTTTTCCATTCACTATCAGTTTTGTGCAGTTGAAACTTTGGACAATAGTCTGATTCATTTTTTAGATCACAGCCACTCATGACTTAACTAAATTTCTGCTTAGGAAAAACTGCCAATGGGCGGCATGGCAAGCAGATATGGAACTGATGGCAGTATTTCAGAAAGTAATTGGAATAGTTGAGCCATGTATCTTTCTTCCACCTTTTTTCCAGTGCAATGGTTTATGGCTTCTTAATCCACCATATAAAGACTGGTCTGTTCAGCTTTGGAAAGTTTTTGGCAAATGTAACATAGGCTCCAAATCTATATCTCATTGAAATTTGAATCTCATTGAAATCCCAGCCACACAACTGTCTGATGGATTGTGCCCTCAGACTTGTCATAAACCAGCCTTGTACATTGCATACTTGTTGCTGCTACATCTTGAGCTCACATGAACAATGGTTCCATTCTGATGTCTGGCTCAATGTCCTTGTCAAATACAGATCTAGTCTACAGTAATTTGAAATAGTTCCACTCAGAGCCACCATAGTCATTTGTTATTCCCTGCTCCTGACAAGAGAATTAGTCAGTGCTAAATGTGCAGGATTGCCAAAGGACACCGTCTTAGTAACTATTTTTTGTTGGTTATGATACGTCTAAAGATACAGAGATGAATGTGCGTCTTACCCTCCATAGATTCAGCACTGGAGTTGGTTGCTGATGTGGGACACACATCATTTACTTTTTGTGGTATGTAATTAAAGATTTTGAACCACTTTTTTTGTTTTTTAAGGCTACAGAACAAGCAGAATATCTGTGAATTTCATGCTGGTATGAAACTAAAATCTTGCCATTTTTTCTTGCCAAAAAAAGATGACTTTAATGATGTAACAAAGCTTTTTCCCTACCCAGAACTAGTGGACTGTTTGTTTGATGCTTCCTTTTGGAAACACATTAGACAAATGTGCTATCTCTTTAATTGTGCTAATTACAAAGTGCTCTCTTAATTTGGCTAAAAGGAGCCAGTTAAGGATCTTTCCATGTTCCTAGATGGATGTTCTACCCCCAATTGAAAGATTAATGCCTGCCTTACTTGAGACTAATTTGTTGTTTGAGCAATAATGAAGTAACTCAAAGCTCTTTGTGGCTCCTTTAGGCCACTTGTCACAAAACATTTATTGCAGAACATTCCTCTTAAGCCTACTAGGGCTACTGTGACATGGATCACTATCTTCATTATTTGCTCAGTCTACCTGATGTTAAGCACTTTTAATTTCAGTCCCATTGATGTTAGTGGAGACAGAGACCATGTGATTCTGTGATTCTATGTTGGGCCAATTTAGAAACCATGCTTTGCTAAGGTGTACACTCTCACACCTCTTCTCTTGCCCTTCTCATGTATGAATCCCCCTTTCTTTCCATGCTTTTCTGAAACCATAGTTTAGTGTTATAGTGGCACGAGCATGAATATGGTTAAAGCCATCTAAGATTCCTTTGTAACCATGGTTTGAAGTGGATTACCAAACAAGAATGATGAAGGGCTCTTTGTTAGCTTTAACCATATTGGCAATAATGTCAAAGTAATGCTGAAACATGGTTAAAGCACACAATGGAAAATGGGAGAAATTATTGTGGAAGGAAAATGGGAGGGGAGGAAGCATGGGTCTGCAGCTGTTACGCTTGAATGGAGCCAAAGTGTTGAGCATATGGTTACATCACCTATTAAAATCAATAGGAATTCTATAGCCAGCTTCCTATTGTCCTCTTCCTTGCTTGCACAGTGCAGCTGATACAGCCAACCATGAAGAGCTCTTTCCATTGTTGGCTGGTAGGCAGCCCATGTCTAAACAGCCCCCATGGCTCATCCCCAGAAAGATGCTTAACTAAGGAGTTACAGGGGTGTGATGAGGGTATGGCAATACTTTGTTGCTAGTTGTTACTGTGGGTTATTTTTCAGTGTAAAATAAATTTCTCAAAAAAAAAAAAAGGCAGTAAAGCCAATAAGCAAAAACCATCAATAACTCTTCTTGACAATGTTTGCCATTTTTATTGTGAATAGTCCATCATCTATCATTGTATTTGGTTCCAGTTTACAAACCCTTTACATATTGCCACATAGCTTAGACATATCAGTTGTAGCATGAGCTTGTCATCAGTTTCTGGTTTTCACGGTGAGATGAAAAGTCATTGGCAGTAGATTAGTCCATGAACGATGGCCAAACTTTGAGCCACTTCATATGTTTGCAGGAACACGTTGTACAGTCAAACATTCCACAGTGCCATGTCAGACATGGATTTTGAGACAGAATCATAGAAATATAGACTTGTAGAGTTGAAGGGACTATGAGGCTCATCTATTTCAACCCCCTGCAATGCAGGAATCGTTTTCCCAGCATGGGGCTCAAACCCATGACCCTGAGATTAAGAGTCTCATGTTCTACTGACTGAGCTGTCCCAGGTTCATCCCAGATAGCAGTGTTCCGTCAGAAGATTGTACAGCATGTCCCACTGAACACTAGACTCATATTTTAATGTCTAGAGACTGAAACAGAAAAACATATGGTAGGGTCATGTTGACTATGTGTAAGGCTTATTTTAGTTAAGTGTGCTCACTTTCTAATGAAGATGCCCCATCTTTGCAAACCAGATTTTAATTTTATTTGTTAGTATTATTTAGGGGTATGATGATGGCACCAATGATTATTGTTCATCAGCCTGGCCTATTGCATATAAAGCAATGAACGGGTCGAGTCTACTATTAATATCAAAAGATGTATGCAGGTCAGTGGAGCTAAAACCTCTGGCATCTTACTTCCTTGCAGTCCTCCGGGTATAGGGCAGTATATAAATTCAATAATAATAAAGAATGCAATCCAGCTTAGAAGAAATGTGCCTAAAGTGATGGACCACCAGGAAGTAAGGTGGTGTATCATCCCCAATGATATACTTCTTTTGATTTAATAATTGACTTCCTGACCCTGCTTTATTTGTTGTGAATGGGGCAGATTCTTGGAGCAAACCTGCATGGTTGCCATCATTAGGTCTAATTTAACTATAAAGGGTTATTTAAAAAACAGCTCCCCGAAAGTGTGTGTGCAGGTGCACACACATGCCATGAGTATGTTTATCCAGAAGGGCACTACAAAAATATTGTCAAGGTGCTCAAATATTTGACAATATATTTAATGTACTTTTGGAGCCGGTGTGCCATGTTCTTTGCTTTTGAAATTATTTCATGTTAGAAGGCTCTCTTCTTACCAAGCAATGCTTGTCAGTCAATCTAATTGAAATGTCATGCTGACCTTTTATTTGAAACACTTCTTTTCCTGACTTCATTTGGAAATTATTTTGCCTTTAATTCAAATTAAAATCTTAAAGCTACCAGGGTGCAGAAACCCTGTATGCTAATTAACTTTAAATGCAACATATCTTTTACAGAAGTAATTCAACTGAGTCTGCCAGAAGATCAGAAAATAAGCATCACTGCAGCAACAGTAGGACAAAGTGCAGTTCTAAGTTGCGCCATTCAGGGGACCTTGAGACCTCCTATCATCTGGAAGCGGAACAATGTCGCTCTGAACAACTTAGATTTGGAAGACATCAATGTGAGTGATAAAGGACTCTCGAGCTACTTAATAGAGTCATTATAAAACCTTTTGCCATACAAACTAGAGCAGTAGCATTTGTCAAACTGACAACCGCTCCTCAGTGTTGTTCCTCTTCTGACACATGAGTGACCTCCTGTTCAGGTCAAAGGGTCATGCTGGAAATGTCTCTTGAAATTAAATGACGGCTTCCGTTTTCAGATGTTGAACAAAAATGCAAAATATAAATTCTCGCCCATTGACAATAGAGATGATACAATTCTCCTATTATTTTTTTTAAAAAGAGAGAGGAAGGAATGAGGTAAAGGATCGAGGCTAAAGAAACAAATGGATTCACCCCATAGAATCCAACAACACCTTATTTAATTCAAGAACTGGCTTGGCTGTATTCTTGCTGGTACTTTGACTTTGTATGAGGTTCCATTGTTTGCGTGTAATTTCTGTCAGGTGAAAAGGGCATACCTTTATTATCCTGAGTGCTGCTAACACTAAATCATTACTCAACTAGGCAAGAAGGTGAAATGGTCAAAAAAATAACAAGATCTGACAATATACAGTAGTACCTTGGTTTTTGAACGTAATCCGTTCCGGAAGACCGTTTGAAACGTTCGAAAACCGAAGCATGCATTTCCGGAAGCATTTACGTCCGGAAAACTCAATACGGAAGCCATGTGGCACATTCGGCTTCCGAAAAACGTTCGGAAACCGAAGTAGTTCCTTCTGGGTTTTCAACAGTAAAAAGTCTAAACATTCGACTTCTGAGACAATAGAAAACCAAGGTACTACTGTAATAAAGAGCACCTTGTTAATTGTGATGAAGGTGCTTGATCAGTAGGGGGCTCGCTACCATTTGCTGGAGACTCCTGCTCCTCATCCTTTCCTGTCACTGCCTGTGTTCACCTTCCATCTCCAAGTGTGGTAACTTGTCAATTAATGCAATGGTCCAGATTTGGAGGAACCAAGAGACTTGCAAGTTTGACTACCTGGCTGCTGGGAACAAGAATTGGAGCTCTTTGTTAAAAACATGTTGATAAAAGGGTCATCATTGGATCTATAGTTTAAAAGGCTGGTGCATAATCCGGCATATTTCATAAAATATTTTCTTCCAGGAAGACTGAATAACAGCTGCCACATTATTAACTTTCTAAACTTTTTTGTAGTACCACCAGCTATTCTTACATTTGCAAGCTTATCTATGTAATAGTAATAGCAACAACAATCTTATTTTTTATGGAAACATAGCAGGATCCCAAGGGATGCACAAAACCTTTCCCTATCGGCTGCATTTTAGTCATGGAGCTGAGACATCAAAGGAGCTGAAGTAAACAATGTGAGATTCAGATCTCATACTGCAGTCTGTTTGGCCTGCCTAAACTTCACTCCATGGGGTCTCATGAATTGTTATGAGAGCTTGGAGAGAGATTAGAAATAGGCTCTGGTTGTATACACACCATGGAAGTTAGGCTGCAAATGTGTTACAGCCTTTTTAGGCAAGGCTGAAAATGCTCCCAAGCCTTTATGAGGCCTATTGTCTCATGTGAAAGGGGGGCATTTAGAAACATTTTGGGGGTGTAGGCTGGAAAAAAAGTGTGTGTGTGTGTGTGTGTGTGTGCATGCATGTTACAATGAAGTGCCAGAGTTGTGGTCAGTCTCTCTTTTGCAAGGGTGTCTGCTGTGTTACAACTATCATGAAAAACCTCATGAAATATATGGGAAATTTTACAGATCCTCCAGGATCCCAGCAATTTTCACCCCACCTACCCCCAGCTCAAAAAGCCAAAAAAAATCTTGGCTGAATATGTAATTTCTAGGTTGATGAAAATACACTGGGGAATGCGGCTGTATTTTCGTTATTTGTTCATATAATACCAGGGTCTTTAAGTATGTGTGTAGCTTTCATAACTTCCCATTCAGCAGACTGTTTATTACATTTGTTCATTAGCATCATTCTTGTTCTGTCTTGATGGCCAGCCTTAACTGCATAGTTCAGTCTTGTCAAGGAAGAAGCTGCTTAACTGATCTTTGGCCATAAAGGAGAAAAATAATTCCTGTTTTTAATAGCACATGCACTGAACAACTCAAAAGTTTGTGGCAAGGCATAAAGAGACCATTAAAAAAGAGAAAATGATACATTTACTTTTGTTTGCTTTAAAATTATAATGCACTGATTTTTCCCCCTTGCAACATATTCTTCCCATATTGAATATATATTTTCTTTATGGTGAGTTGGCACTTGCATGGGGTTTTTGCACCCAGCTGCCCCATAAAGTAGGATACAGTATCTGTCTGAATCCTACCAAATTTCAGAAGGAAATTTGGTAGCTTTCCCATAAATACAGCCTTTATACTGTTGAGGTGAATTGAAAAAACAAAATTGTTTAATCTCCCCATGTGTTTTGTGGGTGTTTGGTTTGAGAAGTGATAAAGGTGTCCCTAAGTAGGAAGCTTGCCAAATTTCACAGTGATAGGCCCAGCTGTGTTTGTTCTGGGCATGTTTAAAGTTTTGTTTTGGAGGGGGGATTTACCTACCTCCCTGTGGCTTTGTTTTTGAACATGATTCAGTGGCATTATGTAGATGCCGCCAGGTGGTAAAATCACAGAGCAGCAAGATTTGAGGAGTAGGCTGGTGTGGATGTTGGAAAATCCCATCTTGTGCATCCATACCTCTCTCACATCACACCCTCCAAGCTGATTCTGCTTCTTGGGGAGTGAGAGGGGGGCTTCTCATTCTCATTCTGTCCTTCATGTGTACATTAGGATAAATTCATTCTAAAATGTTAGTGAATTTTCATGAGGATTTCCATTTTTTTAAAAAAAAATACAAACTGAAGTGGAAATGTGGAAAACTAAATTTAACAATGGAATATGAGAAACCAAAATCAAGATGTTCATCCATCCCTACCTTCTCAGGTATTCACCATCCATTTCCTACTCTAATGAATGGCAAAGCCTTCAATGACTTTAATAGATCTGGATTTTACCAGTTACACATAGGCAGAAATTTCAGTATAGAGATTCATGCTTAAAGTCAAACCCTGTGCGTGTTTACTCATGAGTAAATCCCAGTGACTTAGAAAGCAATCCAAACCTTGATCTGCCATGTGGAATGAGTTTTGCTGTGAAAGAGCTGTCCCTCCATCAGACTCTGTTGGTGGATGCCTTGCTGTCACCAGAGGTCCCAGCTGTGCCCACCAAAATCATAGATGGTTAGAAGCTAATGCTGGTGACATCTCCACCACAGGGCATTCCGGGTTGGGGAGGGTGTGAAGTTGGGGTGACCGAGGGCCTAATGGATCTTCAGCTAATAAAGGGTGGTGATGGGCTACATCCTAGACTTTGCTGTTCAATCCTGGAGCTGGTCAGCAAAAGAAATTACAAAACCATCCCATTCACCTTTAACCATGGCTGGTACAAGTAGCAGTGAATGCCATGCTGGCTCCTAGCTGAGAGTTAGCATAACTCCCTTACTCCCTGGTAAATATGCATAGGATTGCAGCCTTGATGTTGGCCAGGTAGATTTTAATATATTTCAGGTTGCAATCTGAAACACACTAATTGAACGCACTGGGATTTACTTCTGAGTAAACATGCATATAATTGTCTAGGCGCAGGTGCAATAATTACAGACTAGAAAGGTGGATTTCAATGCATTCTTATGAGCTGAGGGTATTTTAATCTGATTTAGTGTTTGTGAACAGATGACAAAGGGGTGTTAGTTAATCAGGATGAATTGAAGCGAACTTCAGTGATGTTGTATGTACAGTATAGGTGTGACACTGTCAAGGTGTGCAGCTGAGCTGCCTCTTTTACATGTGGTTATAGCCTTTACTGCTGATCTGTAGTAAATTAAATACTCTGCTAAATTTTTGACACCTATTAAAACTTCCAGCTTCAGAATCTTGCACTCATAGCTGTGATGAAGTCATTACTTTATTTTTTTTCTCCCTAAATAGAAATTAAGGCCCGAGAGAGCAGCCGAGTAATTGGATAGGTCCACTGAGGAGAATTGTGCTTCTAAATTGCACTGTGGAACATGAATGTAGCACTTAAAGATACGGAACTTCAAATAAATGCATTCAGAGAGAATGTGGTGCACTGTGGTTTATGCAGCACTTTAAATACCAATTCATTTGTTGCACTTACTAAGGCAATTTCAGCACTCAAAAAGCCTCAGCACTGGTACAATTTCTTCTGTCTCCAGAGGTGGTGTTCTTTGTTCTCACCTCTAGCTATATTATGAGCTATGGTGTATTTGTTTAGCAGTGAGAGCTGATTTTACATCACAGTATACAGAAGGTGGGGGGAAGTATTTGTCTGTATTTTCAAGTATAGAAAGTCAGGTAGAATACTTTCAGTAATCATGCCAAGATAGGGGGAAATAGATGAAAATGACTGGCTATTGGATACAATGGAATTAAATGCATGTGATTGCATCAGCTGCAAGAGTGCAACACATTAGAGCAGGCTGGTTTCATTTTTAATGTTTTAACATGTAGCAATAGGACTAGTGAGGAGCATCAATGACCTTGTTAAAAGTAAATGAAGTGTTGTCATTTGCTTAAATAGATTATTTGTTTTGCCACTTCAGAAGTGAGGTAGGAGGTGAAGAAGTGCCATATTCACTTGTCAAAAGTCTTCTGTAGTTTTCGACTATATATACTAAAAATGACTTAATATTCTGCATGCTGTCATGATCTTTAAGATCAGTCAAGGGAGCCTTCTGACACAAAGATAGGGGGCCTGTAGCCCTCCAGATGTTGTCAGACTCCAACTTCCATAATCCCTGATCATTGTCTATGGCGGCTGGGATCAATAGAAACTGTAATCCAGCCACATCTGAAGGGCCATGATTTTCTCATCCCTAATCTAACATGTGGGACGGCGGGTGGTGCTGTGGGTTAAAGCCTCAGCGCCTAGGACTTGCCGATTGAAAGGTCGGCGGTTCGAATCCCCGCAGCGGGGTGCGCTCCTGTTGCTCAGTCCCAGCGCCTGCCAACCTA